GATCGAGTTACCATGGAAACGAATTAACAGACGTTATTTTGACAGATTAAAAATTATTAATCTGTCAGTGTAAATACACTGGTAATTTAAATATAGATAAATAAAATGAGTTCATCGAATAGTGAAGATGAATTTAGTAGCACACCACCCAATATTATGCAGTTAGATGCGAACACTACCGAGAACCTATTACCAGAATAGTCTAGAGGACAATACGAAAAGTTATATCAGCAATTTATAAATTGGCGTACAACAAATAATGTAAATTCATTGTCAAAAATCGTATTTTTGGCTTATTTTGGAGAAATCGCTAAGAAATTTAAACCATTCTCATTATGGGCAATATATTCTATGCTAACAAGTGTTATAACTTTGAAAAATAATTTTAATATTGAAAATTACCCGAAATTACACAAAAACAAAGAATCTAAAATTTTACATCCTGATGAAATAAAACCTTTTTTAAACGGAGTTCCTGATGAACAGTACTTGTTAATAAAGGTTATTAAAAATGTTAATGTTATTAATAAGTATAACATAAATATGCCTATTTATAATACTTATCTTAAAAATATTGCAGTTATTAAAGTATATGTGAAGCTTGTAGGAAACAAGAGTTAAAAATCCTAAAATTTACATTGATGATTTAAGTACCATGGTATTGGTTAAAATTCCTGATACGAAAACCAACATATGTAGATCTTTCGTTATTTCTGGAAATTTCTATAAAATCTGCAAACAATATATAGAAATTTGACTACAGATTAGCGATCCGTAAATAAATCAATACCCATCCACAATGATATAAGAACGGTGTTTTCCAATTCCAGAATGGTAGGCTGCAGGTTTCATGTATAGCAAGCATGGTTTTAGAAAATTCAGAATCGAGGCCTTGCATCTGATCATGATAACGACAGGAGTGAAGTTGGAAAATGGTTACGCTATATATTTAGTTTACAGTTTTTAAATTCGTCGGAAGTAGACAATTGTTTGCTTATGATTTCTCGGAAGTACAAGCTGAAAACGAACGTTTACTACACTTTTCTGATTATTAAATACCTAATTATTTATAAGTTATACACCATAAAAAATGGACAGAAAAGACTTTTGTATCAAGAGAGAGGTTGTGACTCTGGAAGAAGGCCTCCATCTGATTGATGGTGGATCTAGCTTCTCTGATACGTGCTCTTATCTCCTGGTTGTTGGTCCATTCTTAATTTATTATGATGCCGATGTAGTTGTAGTACGCCACTCTTTCTACAGGGGATTGGTTGACATAGAGTTGAGCTTCTGTTATACTTTTTTTGCTAATTATCATAAGCTTTGGCTTCTTAACGTGTATATTGAGTTCATATTGTTGACAGTTATACGTGATTTTGTTCATAAGAACTTGTAGGTCTTCTATGTTGTCTGCAAATACTATGGTGTCATCTACATGTCTGATGTTGTTTAGCCGGTAACCATTTAGTAGAATACCTTTTTCAGTTTCGTGCAAACGTTCGATAAATATTCTTTCAGAGTACAGATTGAAGATTAGAGGAGACAAAATATAGTCTTGCATCACTCCACGCATGATTTCCACATAATCAGTGTGTTCACCTCCAACTCTGAGATCCGATCAACGCTATCTGATTCCAGTAAAGATTTCTAATTAGTTTCAGATCTTGGTTGTTAATTTTTACCCACAAGGTAAGAAACTTATTTTAGTTACAATAGATAGCTTGTTTATTATATGTAAGACACTTTTGTCACAGATATATGTAACGACAGGCTTGAAGCACATTGTGACAGTGTCACAACATGCCCATACGAATTTTAATGCTTGTTTTTGGGTTTGTTAGGTGAGATACTCGTGAGAAATTATAAAAGAAAAACAGAACGTAGTCGGAGTAATTTAAACAGTTACGAATCAGTCTCGTTAGATGTTAAGTCTTTATCATGTAGTTTAAGGCAAGCAGCTGAAAATGTAGTGATAACTGGATGTCCTTACTTAGATATATAAAAAATAACAAACCAACCCAGATTGGGGGGTAGAAATAGGTTGCAAATGGCCTCAAGTCCTCAAATGATATTTTCACAACAGCAACAATAAGAGCTCTGTGAATATGCTGTTCAGGTAACAAAAATATTTTATGGTAGCCCAGAAGAAATGAAAAGTTCAGCTTTTTGAATTTTGCACATCGAACAAAGTTCTAGTGCCTGATAATTGGGTAGAAACAAAAAAAGACAGAAATAAGTGGTTTTCAAAGTTCATGCAGCGTAACAATAATATGTCTATCAACTAGCTTAAGTCATAGTATAAATTTTAACAAGCACAATGTAGGGCTCTTTTTTCAAAACCTAGAATTAGTATTAAGTCAAAACTATTTTGCAGCTAGATATTTGAAATATAGATGAGACAATGAGACATGGGACTATACAAAAACCGGTAAAAATCATAGCAAAAGAAGAAGAGAAAAGAGTTGGTGATGGTACTTCAGTTTAGAGGGAGACTAATTTTGCTATGGTTCTTGCCATTAATGCAGAGAGTAACTCAGTAATATCAATGTTCGTTTTTCTACGTGAGTTTTGCAAGGAGCACTTTGTACGTAATAGGCCAGTAGGTTGTTTCTGCACTTCTAACCCAAGTGGCTGGATAATAGGCCCGGAATTTTTGTTGTTATAAAGTTCTTTGATTTTGTAAAAAAAGTAAGGTGCTTAAAGTTTGTTGAACAACCACAGTTCTCATCTTTACATCGAAGTCCTTGACTATTGTACAGAGCACAGTAATACTCTCTTGTCGTTCCCTCCCCATACAACAAATAGACTTCAACCACTGGACGTTTCCGTTTTTGGCCAATTTAAGAAGTTTTTCAATGATGCCATGTATGGTTCGATGAAATCTTATCCTGGCAACGCAGTCTCAATTCATGATATTCCAAGTATACTGGAAAAATCATTACCCAAATCAGTAATACCAACAAAGGTACAGGCAGGATTTCGTTCCACGGGAATATGGGAATTCAATAAAAACATTTTTAATGAAGAACACTTTCTGTGTTATTCGGTGATCAATCGACCTTCGAATAGGTCGAATAGGCCTCGGACATCGGAGATGGTAATGAAAGTCAGTTCTGGGCAGCTCAAAGAGTTTCAGCATCTCGATAAACCTAAACCGTCATATTATGTCAACCAACCAGGACCATACCAACCAGGATCAGCGCAAGCCAACCTACCAGTATCAATCCATGTCGAAGTTCTGCCTGTCAACCCTGATGTAAGACCTATGCCAAAAGCTGGTCCCCGAAAAAATAAAAAAACTCAAGAGACACACCTGCAATTTTGAGAATAAAAATTCGCAATCAATAGTTAAGAGGAAGAGAACAATCAAGTTCAAAGAGGATAAAATAAAGAACAAATTATTTGACTTAAAAAAAGAAGATTACTTTTACTTAGTTTGTATGGAAGGATAAAGAGTCTAGGTTATGAGAAACTGGGTTCAGTGTATGGAATGTAAGAGGTGGGCTCATGTAAAGTGCACAAAAAATGATCTGCATTATGTTTGTATAAACTGTCAGTCAGATCTAGAAGTAGAGTCAGCAGAAATTGATGATAGTGATTAAGTTTTGTCTTTTTTTACTTTTTAAGTGTGAAACTTTGTTATTATTCTCCAACTAAAGTTTATTATATTTAAACATATCTACTGGCACAACCTACCCAAGCTCGTCACAAATTACCCCATATTGGGACATATTGGGACAATATGTAGGTAGGTACATATTTGTAAAACTATTTACATACCATAAGGTATTGCTTAAAACTTGCTAATGTAACAAAATAATGACTCACAGTTAAAAATAATATCTCGCCCTAAAAATTACGAAAAAAATATTAAAGATTATTTTGTTCAAAGTGGCATAACTAGCCCCGTCTACCCTACTCATTAGTTTAAATATCTGAACTAAGTCAAAATCTTTATCTACTGCTTTCATTTGCGGTCCAACAAAAACAATTTACAGCGACGAATTTATGTGTTTACTTTTCCCTACCAGTTCTTCTCGGAGACCAATTTTTATAAATTAGGGAAGCCACATTGGGATCCAGGCAAGGAAAAGTGGTATGATGAAGAAAGAGATATTTACCAAATGATAGAATGTTGATAAATGTTGTACAAAATGAAAATTAAAAAAAAATTATGACATTCATCAAATCACCACTTGTATTATTATCAGATCCTGTTGACTGCCGCTCTAGATAGTGCCGCACTACTGCATTCAAATAATTCAAGTTCTTAAGCCATGATATTCTTCGTCTTCCCACATTTCGCACTCATCGTATTTTGTCTTGCGTAATAAGTTGCAATAATATGTATTTTTGTCTTATCACATGTCCTTTGTACTTAAGTTTTCTTCTTATGATAGTCAATATTCTTTATGCTTTATTTCTTATTTTTCTAGTTACTTTTATGTTTGACATTCTTTAAGTCCATGATTTTCGTACGATTCTTCTGTAACACCAAAATTTAAATGCACTGGTTTTAATGTCCATGCTTTCAAGCCATAATGAAGAGTAGAGAACGTTTAACACCGAAGCATATTTGGACGTAGTCCTAACCTTACATCCCGATAACAAACAAACTTTTTAAGTTTAACGAATACGTGTCTTAATGTCTTTGGTTTTTTCTATATATTTATATTCTCCATGTTCCCAAGTATTTGTAGGTGTCCACACTCTCAATTACATTATCTTCAACAATTAGTTGGATATTTGCATCCGATGATTACTACAACACATTAGTTATGTGTGAAAATATGTTATCGTTTGTATTAAATCGATCCTCTTGCAAGTCAGATAGGAAGTAGTGATGAGACATTAAAACTAACATACATCGATTTAAAATCACCTTTTAGTGTATTGCTTATACATTAAGATCAACATATAAAGAATCAAAACAAAAGACAGTTAGAGATGAATGCTAAATGTTAGTGCTCATGTATTGATACAGCTCAAGAAATACATACCTGCTTTTTTCATGTAAATAAATTGTTTCTATTTGCGTTAGTAATAATTCAACATCAACCTGTTCCAAGATTTCTTGAGACAGTAGTTCTGTAAACTTCGCATCGTGGCTTACGACAAATGGTACAAAAATTGCTAGCAATATTAAAACTTTCATCGTCATCAATATAAAATATAATTTACACGTTGCGTTGTTTTATATTTGATACTCAAAACTCCTTATATAATCAATAAAAATAGAACAATATACTGAATATACTACTTAAATAATATTAAAACATATGAATATTTAATCAGATTAGGTTTTAAAATATGCTTATTTTTTATACTTTGAGACAATCTAATATCGATAACATGATATTATTTTTTTCGAATATGATAATACATTTAATCTTCCACTATGAGATTATGAAAATATGGTTTTGTTACCAACATGTATTCAAGAAATGTGCGTTAAACATAATCATTATCTGTCATATCTATCTATAGCTCCGAGGAGAGCAAACCTAAGGAAGAACGAGAGGCATTTTACGAACAATTGCAAACCATCCTGGATGAAATAACTTATGAAGAGCCCTTAAGGCTGTTTTAGTAGTCAAAGCACACTGCGATTTGAAATGGGCGTATCACTTACTTTTCTACACCGATAAGGCCAGATCATCTTTACTCAGTGGCGCCGGCCGACGGGTAGTTTAATGACAATAAATGCATTATTCTCCATTCAAATCAGTTTTAGCATGAACTAACTTACCGTACGTTCATGAGATTTGACGTTACGAAGGCGATAACAATGAAAATAAGCGATAATGATGAGTAACACGTTTCACTATTAAATTTTAGCATTTTTTAGCAATTTTTTTCAAAGTTGGAACACGTTTTTTTTTATTATTACTGGACACAGAAAGGTGAAAAAAAATTAACGATTACAGAAAAAGAACTCTTTCAAGTGATGGGCGTAAAAAGTTTGGTTATAATAGAACGTTAAACAGTATAATCCAATTTTTCAACAAAAGTTTCAAAAAATAGTAAAAGTAAAACCATCATTTTAAAGGCAACATAATTTCGAATAACGTGTCCAAATGTCGAGACATTTTGTCGGTAAATAAGAGAGAAAACACTGTCAATAGGTTTTGGTGCACAGATAAAACAGCCTTAATTCTTATGGGTGACTTGAATGCACGAATCGAAAATAAAATAGTTCCAGGAGTAAAACAAAGATTTAATGAAAACCATGTCAACGCATGGATATATAATGCATGGATGCATGGATATATAATGCAAAGAAAAATCCAATTACGCAGAAATCCAGGCCGTAGAAGAATGTCCTGGATGATGAGAATGAGAATGAAATTTAAGAGAGTGGTTTGGCTGTACCACTAACGAATTATTCAAAACAGCAGTAAATAAAATTAGAATCGCCATAATTATATCCAATCTCCGATAGAAGAGGCACTCAAAGAAGAAGAATTTCAACAAAAATGAAGAACCTATGACTAATCTCTGTGCTTTTAACGAACTCAGAATCAATAATACATTTTCGACCATAAGCTCCAGTATAAATATATATTTGAAAACAAAGCACTTGGTGGTCGTGTGTATTAAGGTATAAAAAATGCTTATTAAAAGCTTAACATTTTTATTTTAAAGAAGATCTTTTCGGAATTGAATCATTCTATCATCAGTTTACTAAAAGAGAGAGTAAAAATACCAATATTAAAAAACAAGTAAGTTAAAATTTAAATATATAAAAAGAACACGTTGGTTTTTTACTACTTACATAAAAAGTTGTCAAAAAACATTGTATGGCACATAAAAACATTGGAAGGACATCTGTATTAAAAAACAATCCTCATGGTATTTATAAAGGTAAATGCAATAAACTGGTAATTTGTTGATTAATAAAAACTGAAAATGGGGGCATCTTACATGACCCCCTGTAGTTGGTGAGGTTTTATCGACTTACAATGTAGTTACTAATTTACCCTCTCTTATGATATCTATTATTAAGCAATTCTTTAGGATTTTAAATTAATTTTATTTTATTATATTCGATTGTATCCGAAAAAATATGTTTTTTATTTAAACACAAAATCCACATCAACCACGCAGGGTTATTAGTGGATATAACAAACATAAAAAATACTACTTTATATAAATCATACAACTTCATGTCTTTTAAACACTGTTTTTTGGTAAGAACTGTTTTAAGATCATCAACTGTAGCTGTACTTGTAAGTGGTTGTTTTGTTACTATGTATTTGTATGTTACAGCAGTATGGCTTATTTTTAGACGGTTGAGTTCTTGACATGGTTTCTTCTCTTTAACCCTGCTGTACCGTTCCAGTCAACTACGCACATGTACTGTTCGGGTCAATATGATCCAATTATGCTTTACGGTCTTTAATCGAAATAAATAAGCTAATGGTGCTAAACAAAACTTTATTAACAAAAAACTATAAAATTCCACTAGGAAACTAAGTTCCTGTAGCTGGCTGTATACCATATATCACAAAAAATTTATTTAAAATCCTTTATAAAAGGTATATAATAAAATGCCCAAACAGGCTATCACAAAGATATTGGAAAACATTTTCGGATTATTAAATCCATCATCAGTGCAAACCTGAAAGTAAATAATCACTTTAATTAAAAGAACGTTGAATTTAAAATGTTGACTAAGGTTAAAGAACATTGTGGTTAATACTTACGAGGTATACATGCTATGAGCCACCAAAATATATGGGTCCAAACCCTTTAAATGATATAAATTTACATTTGCTTTACATTATATGTGGTTACAAATTATGATGTTTAAGTTACCGTTGGAATTGGTAACATGGCGACGTATGACCCTACATAGGTAAAATGGTCCTGAGACGAAGTGTCTTCGAGGACCTGTTGATAACAACTGATCAAAATGACATTGTTGACATGTTAAAACGGATGTTGTGTCAGAGCAGTCAGTGTAACTTACGGTAGTTGTCTAAAAATGACAGATGTCAGCATTATTTAAAATTGAAAAATTTAAAATTATAATAATGTAACAGTATCAACCATCAATGTTGTAGTCTGTAATGTGAATTATTCATATGGTTATATTGGAAACATTGAAAATTTGGTTTTTTAAAAAATTAATGTGGGTAAACTGGAGTTTATGAAATTTTGTAGGATCAGTAGGCAACCAACTATACATGTGTATGGATTTATTTGTTCTAAGCTAAAAAATTTTTTATCAAAAGGCCCTGTATGTTGTGTAACATTTGGTACATAGAAAATGGTAAAAAATGACAAAAAAGGCACATGTAGGAAGATGGGTCCTATAAGATTTATTAATGAGGAATGTTGTAGTAAAAAGTATGTTTAGATCTGTTGTTGAGCTGAAATTTAAATATGATAAGAATGTGATTATGGTGTGATGTTGATGTAGTACTTAACTTGAAACTTAAGCAAGGAGGGCCCTCTATGTCAAAAAACAACATTTTGCACCTGATAAAAATAAAAGATTTTTCAAGTTATAAGTACATGAACATGAATTGCTGGTTATGTGTGAAAATTAAAGATGGTAGATTGTTTTTGTGTGTGGACACGTATGCCAGAACAACAGAAAACTGATGGCTGAAAGGTGGTTTGGTATGGTATTGTTAATACCTTGCTCAAATTCTAACTCAAGAAAAGCAAGGATTTGAGCAAGGTATTAACAATACCATACTAAACCACCTTTCAGCCAACAGTTTTCTGTTGTTTTGGCACACGTGTCCACACACAAAAACAATCTACCATCTTTAATTTTCACACATAACCAGCAATTCATGTTCATGTACTTATAACTTGATTGACATAGAGGGCCCTCCTTGCTTAAGTTTCAAGTTAAGTACTACATCAACATCACACCATAATCACATTCTTATCATATTTAAATTTCAGCTCAACAACAGATCTAAACATACTTTTTACTACAACATTCCTCATTAATAAATCTTATAGGACCCATCTTCCTACATGTGCCTTTTTTGTCATTTTTTACCATTTTCTAGGTACCAAATGTTACACAACATACAGGACCTTTTGAAAAAAACATTGTTTAGCTTAGAACAAATAAATCCATACACATGTATAGTTGGTTGCCTACTGATCCTACAAAATTTCATAAACTCCAGTTTACCCACATTAATTTTAAAAAAAACCAAATTTTCAATGTTTCCAATATAACCATATGAATAATTCACATTACAGACTACAACATTGATGGTTGATACTGTTACATTATTATAATTTTAAATTTTTTCAATTTTAAATAATGCTGACATCTGTCATTTTTAGACAACTACCTACAAGTTACACTGACTGCTCTGACACAACATCCGTTCTAACATGTCAACAATGTCATTTTGATCAGTTGTTATCAACAGGTCCTCGAAGACACTTCGTCCCAGGACCATTTTACCTATGTAGGGTCATACGTCGCCATGTTACCAATTCCAACGGTAACTTAAACATCATAATTTGTAACCACATATAATGTAAAGCAAATGTAAATTTATATCATTTAAAGGGTTTGGACCCATATATTTTGGTGGCTCATAGCATGTATACCTCGTAAGTATTAACCACAATGTTCTTTAACCTTAGTCAACATTTTAAATTCAACGTTCTTTTAATTAAAGTGGTTATTTACTTTCAGGTTTGTACTGATGATGGATTTAATAATCCGAAAACGTTTTGCAATATCTTTGTGATAGCCCGTTTGGGCATTTTATTATATACCTTTTATAAAGGATTTTAAAAAAACTATACTCAATTAAACAAAAATTATGTTGCTAATATAAATTAACCAAAATAAAAGGCATTTTTTTCTTTCCCAGAAAAGCCTAAGAACAAATACATACAAAATTTAATTTAGTTTACAACTGGGACAGTAATAAAGATAATGGGTTTTACAACAATATGTTTGGGATATATACAACATAAAATCTTGATATTATCGTTTTTAGAGCAAAATTTACAGCATGCTCGTTTAGAAGGCGGAATTGAATTGTCCATAGACGGTTCACTAGAATTTCAATCTTCTCTACTGTTTTCTGTTTGTGTTCTTTTTACTAGTTCTTGTGAGTCTTTATTTTTTGGTAAATTTTTCCTAAAAAGGATAAGTGGTTTCACCAGTGTTTTTCACAATTCCTCAAGAAAAATTCGCCGTTTTGTAAGTTTGTTGGTGTTCCATTATTGATGTCCATAAAACGAACGCGTTGTAGGC